ACGCGCGTATGCCTCGCCGAGCGCGCGCACCACCCTCGCCCACAGCTCGCACTCCGCCTTGATGTCGCCCTGGAAGTGTGGCACCCTGTGCCACGGCCGCTCCGGGTTGTCCTTCTCGAGCTCCCGGTCGTAATCCTCGTGGCGCGCGGCAAGGACGGCGCGCCAGCGCTGCTCCGTCTGCGCAGGCCGGGGCCGCTCGACCATGAGCGCGTCCATCTCGACGTCCGCGTTCTCCTTCTCGCCGCCGCCGCCGGCGAGCGGCTTGCGCCGGCGCCGGCGGCCGGACGCCGCCGCCGGCGCAGGTGCGGGCGGAGTCGCGCGCCCCGTCTCGTTGTCGGGCGACTCCTCGCCGCCGGCGGCGTCGGGTGCGGCGACGTCGGCCTGCGAGTCGCGAGGGCGGCCTGCACCGGCGGCGGTCCGCAACGTCTCGCGGCGCGCCGCCAGCCACGCCGTGAACTCATGGGCGATGTCGCTGTCGTCGGGCGGCTGGTACAAGCTCGGCTGGATGTGGTCCATGAAGGCCTCCATCTCGGCCGCGGTCACGTCGTCGGGCGCGTCGACGGGCTGCAAGGCCGTGGACCGCACGGCGGGGCGGCTGCGCCAGGACTGGCGCGTCGCTGACGACGAGCCGAAGCAAAAAGAGCTGGACGACGGCAAGCCCGGCTGCATTCTCGCACCGGGACGGCGATCCTGGTCGAGCATGAGACGCCGCCTGCTTTTGGATGTTTTCTTTCTTGATTCCGTTTGTTGCAAACGGAATCAGTTGCAAAACCCTGAATAAAAAACAAAACGCGAAAATCCCCTTTGCAGCCAAGCCTACCGGGCACCTAATTTAAACAAAAGAACTCTCTCTCTCACAGCGAGAAAGAAAAGAGAAGTCCCGTCAACGCGGCACGCGTCCCGTCCGAACCAGCAGTGAGTCGTCGACGATGAGGCCGCACCCCTCGTCCGACGAGGTTGAGGTCTTCGGTCTACGCGGCGTACTGCAGACCCACCGTGGGCCGGCACCCATCGAGACGCATGGCTACCGGCGCGACGACAATGGGCTAGTGCCGGTGGACGAGCCGCGCGTCTACGAGCTGCTTGGGCAGCGGCTGTCCGCCAAGGCCGTCAAGGACTACGGCGCTGCCGATCGTGCGCGCGAGGCGCTGCGTGAGATGGGCGTCGACGTCTTTGACAGCTCTCGGATATGGCGCGTCCGTGGCGGCACGCGCGAGTTCAATGCACGGCTGACGCAGCTAGCGCAGTCGAGGCAGTTGTCGGCGTGCCGCGCCGCCTACTCTGCCGGCGAGGCCTTGGCCGACTCGCGCTCGCACGCCATCCTCATCGACGCCCACGCCGCGTGCGGCGATGGGCAGGGCGCACGCGATGCGCTGGCGGCGATGAGCGCTGCGGGCCACCAGCCGCAGCCGGCAGAGTATGCGGCGGCTGTCAGCGCAGGCGACCTCCTGGCCGCTCGACGGCTGCTTGGCGAGGCCGAGCGCGAGCTCGGCGGAGCGAGCGGCGGC